ATTAAAAGAATCTACTAACTCTCTGTTTGTTTTCACACACACCAACGATTTCTTCTCAACACTTATCGATATTTTTTGCCTTGCTAATGAAATATCGCATCAATTTTCTAGGAACCAGGAAGATCACTACTATTTATTCAATACTGAATAATATCCAAAGCAGATAACCACGATGAAAGCTGATCAACACACATCTGTTTTTAGTTTTCTGATAGGATTAAAGAATATCAGCGGTGTTCATGACTGAAACAGTAAACAGTCTTAAGCTTCAAAAAACAGCTTTAGCTAAACTGCGTGCACACAAAATAAATGAATAATAGATAGGTAAATTATATTTCCAGGTGTGAGAGTTTTTACAAGTCATTTCTTTTTATTCTTTCACAATACCAGTGGAACATAGGAATTCAAGGTAGAGGCTTGAAGTTTCGGTGGTAGTGGGGTTTATTTTTATGGGACGGGGTTGCTAACCTCATGCCCAGCCTTTCCTCTTTACCAGCTTTTTATTACTGGCTTAGCGACGTAAAGGAGTGCGTCGGTCGGGGATCAAACCCCGGACCATGTGCATGGTTGGCAAGCGCTGTGCCACCGACGCAAAAGTCATTAGGAATGCTAATTTTTCGCCTATTAAAATGGACTGCCTTAAATCATACTACATATTAAGGTATACTGGTGATGTTGGCATAAGGGGAATCGATATGGTTTGCAAAAAATTTCATCAGTGTAAGAGAGATTAAACTGCATGAGGAAGATAACCAAATTTATGACACAAAAGGTACATTCCTTTAAAAAGATTTTATTTCAATTTACCTACTGGATGGTCCAAATGACTTGTATGTCATACCTTTATGCTTTACTGAAAGTCTTCCAAAGTAATAAAAACCAATCTCGGTCGGTAAACATTTTGCGCAGTAAGTATAGTCTGTCACCGGCATATCATGATGCGGAACAGATAGTTTTAATAATTACTTTAGTAATTTTTGCATAGATGAGGCCGTTTAAAATTCACTGCATCAACTTATCAATTTTCTGAAGGTAAACACATCAGTTTCACTAATCTATCTATATACAAATAATCTAACCATACGTATTTCATTCGGTTTAAACTATGGTTGTTTCCTTTCTAGAATGAGTTGAAAGTGAGCAGTTTGCGTGTTTGTCAATACATCCATCCCCTTAACTTCTTACATCAAATAACCAACCAATTGTATTTTCTACAACAATTTAATCGATTAACTTATCACAATTAATAATCTTTCAACTTTCCTGCTGTAAATATCAGTGAAAAAATAAACAGCATATTATTGTGATGGCTTTACACATATTGGAAATACTAAATTCTTGTAATTAGGTCAAAAGTTGGTGTGCACAACGACAAGCTGGATAAATATGCCACAAAGTTTATACTCCGAGATATATATATATACATTTATATACACTTCGTGAATATTTAAGAAACGCCTATCACGCAAATTGACATGGGTTGTCACTTCATTATATATATATATATATATATATATGTGTATACACATATATAATAATCGTAAATAATCTTGTAATGCCAGTTTACAAACAATTTAAGCTTTTTACATCACATGAATAGACAAATCAGCTACTGTGTGTAGAGATTTGCGTAACAGAAACTAGTTACATTGGTTTACCTCTTAATACATTCAAACTTTATTATAACAATAGGTATTTTTTGATAAATAAATTATCTTACACTGAACTGTTAAGTTCTTGAATTAAATATGACTTTATAGAATGTTTCATTACTATTGTCTGCTCTAGTTCCTAGAGGGAAATAAGGCTTCAGCCGCGCGTCTCCATTGCGTTCGGTTCCCCGCCAATGTTTTTAATCTGCCTCCACATCTGCCCATATGCTTTAATCTCCTTTTCACATGACCGCACTGACGACCAACTCGCCGCTTCTAATTCGGGTTCCACTCGAGCGATGGCCTGACGTGTAATGTCACTTGATGATTTTCTCAGAGCATGGCCAGTCCACCCTTATTTTTTCTTGTATATTTGTAGTTTGTTTGAAGTGCCCTTCATAACGCGCCAAGTCTCTCATGCGTATATTAAGTAGCACTGACTTCACAGTGGAGTTGAAAATCCGAATCTTATTTTTCATGCTGAGAGTAATAAAAGCTTGCCGTGCTTTCCCGACCCTCGCTTAGATGTCCTCATGAGTTTCGCCTGTATTTCAAACGATGCTTACCAGGTAGGTAGGTAAAGGAGATTGCCTCTTTCAGATTCCGCCCATTTATGCTAATAGTTATCTGTTGTTGTTACTGTAAGCCAGGATTCTTCGATACCTATGTTTTCTCTACGTCCACCTGAAGTCCTGTATTTGATGCTTCTTCTGCCAACTTGTTGCTTTTCACTTGCACATCTTTCAGTTTATTGGAAATCAGACATATATCATCGGCGAAGCCCAGATCCTCCAAATTCTTGTGTGGGTCCATTTTATACTTGTCTCCACGTTTTCCGCTGTCTGGCAAAGCTTTTTAAGGTCTACTTTCTTAAAACCTATCGAACTACTTATACGAAACACTTAAATTCGTAAAGTAATCATTTTTTTGTTCGGATACAAATATAGGCCTCTTCTTACAGGATAGTTAAAACTGCCATGTAATAGTGAAGCAGTAATGATGATAAAAGTACATAGTTTATATCAAAAAGTATGAGAATACAAATTATTTCACCGCTCAGTATTTAATAACTAGATACTGAGAAACCACTCAGGCGATAATCATCGCCTTTCAATTAAAACTGGGCAACTGATACTACACATGAAATTAATTTCGTGCCTGGATAGTTATAATGCACATGGCGTCGAAGCAATACTCATAAAACTGAGAGCAGCTTAATACTCATATTAAATTGCATCTGATAAAATGCCGTAGGAACTCATGACCGTAGCGAAAATTATGAAGGCAATGAAGTAGTTGAAATAAATATGTGATTCGTCCTAATCTTCTAGACTAACAATGCATAGTAAATGAATTCATGAACCGGTCATTTATATACTCAATTCATACATGAGTTACCATCCTGGAAAAATTCGCTTTGATCGCAAAATATTCAGGTGAATGAATGACGGAGAATTAAAGTTATGCATAGTTAAAGAAATGCTACATCCTCCCTTCTGTAGACTAATCTAAGTGATTCATAACAAACTGAAATACAGATTCTGAACTACGTATTCATCTTGATGGAATAAATAAGGAAGTTTCGACAGTCAACATTAAGATGAGACAGCTAGGCCACTTACTAGCTGACAACACTTTTTTCTTTCACGTCCCCCAGTGGAACATAGGACTTCAAGCTACTGGCTTGAAGTTTCTGTGGCAGTGTTTATTTTACAGGATGAGGTTGCTAGCCTCATGCCCAACCTTTCCTCTTTACCAGCATTATTTCTGGCTTGGCGAGGTAAAGAAGTGTGTTGGCCGGGGATCGAACCCCGGCCCATGTGCATGGTTGGCAAGCGTCCTAACCACGACATACAGCTAACAACTAATCTGCATTTAAAAGACTCATTAAAATCAAAATGTTCTAAATTAACTGGTTTAGATATGATAGAGAAGACTTGTAGCTCAGGTGGATGATTTTGATATGGTTGTGTTCTCTGAGCTGGATAGTTAATTTGCGCTTCGACATTGTTCGGCCAATTTCCATCCCATTCGAAAGTGGGAAGACTTCGCCAAAAGGCAAGGATCCACCAGAGAACAATTATTCCTTCTCCATTAGTGCCTTCGTCATCAAATCCTACCGACCAGTCAACCGTCCAATGGGATGGAAATTGGCCGAATAGTGTGGAAGCGCAAATTAACTATCCAGCTCAGAGAACACAACCATATCAAAAATTAACTGGTTTATTATTATTATTCCCTTAGGTTCCGAGCGGAAAATAGAACTGCAACAGTACGTCTCAATTGTATTCTGTTCTCTGCTATTCTTCTTAGCTCTAATCTCCTCTTTACATTGTCTCCTCCATATCACCGTCAGACCGATACCCAAATCATCTTTCCATATTCGGATCCCGCTCAATCGCTAGCCTGGCTCACTATGTCACTCAACGGTCTTCTCAGCATGCGTCCGGTCGATCTTCATTTCCTTCGGAATATTCGTTTGACAGCAGGTTCTCAGTTGATCTGTTGCTAAATTCCCATGTTGTTAATCCTTTCTAACCAGCCATGTGATCTTCAGTATTGAGAGAAGGCAGATGTTGATGAAACTCTGAATCCTGTTGGAAAGGCTTTTGGGGACACGTTGAATCTCTGAATCATACGGATACACTGACTTAATATTAGTGTTGAAAATCCGTACTCTGTTCTTTCTGCTAAGTGCACTTGATTTCCAGACCTATTCTAGATTAATGAAGGTTTGTCTTGTGTTTTCTCATCCTGGCTTTGATATCTTCATTCGTGTCATTGCCTACAGTTGAAACTATACTACCTACATAAATGTCATTGATGACTACCTTCAAATTTTTCCCATTGACAGTGAAAGATGCTTGTTTTTGTTGGTCAAAACTTCAGTATCCATTTTTTCATAACATCTAAGCAACTGATCTGTGACAAACTTCATCCCTACAGTTCTACAGCTGCTTAAATCCTTGCATTACAACATTGGCTAATCACCGTTGACGACAGATCATAATAAAATAAATAGTAGAGAATTACAAAAGGAATACCGTTGAAAGTGAGGAGCACACGCTTACAAACTAACGTTGGGAAATCTCTAAATTAGTCACTGTCGGTAAATATTGAAAATATGCACCCACTTTCATTGTGTTAAACACGATGTTTGTTTTGTTGAACACAGTGCAAAATAAACTGATTTATTACAAAGTGTTTTGCAAGAATATCAGTAATCATTTATCATTCATCATGTAAAACTGAACAATTTACCTAAGGATGATAAAAGTGAATCTACTGAAAAGCATGTATATATATGTATTCTCGTATAATTCATCATTCTGATGGAGTGGTTTTCTTTCACGCGGTTAAACTTGTTATCAAATGTTCAGAAGGATGATGTGTAGCACCCATTTCGACTCTTGACTTCCTTTCTCGACTACGTTCCATTTCATCCCAAAATGTTTTGAAAGTCTTGTATTGAAAAAGAAGGCAGAAAACAGAACAACTTGACAATATAAATGTTAATATAACCGAAATATGTGAGTCAGAAAACTAACTTTTGTTATAATGTCAACACAGTGTTTCAACGGAATCTGTTCAGCCATCTGTAATCGTTATCTTCTCACTACAACAAATCTCCACATAACTTACTCTTCATAATCAATAAAACTTCACCATATTTTTTATTCCTTTACGTTCCCAGTGTAATATAGGGCTTCAAGCTAGAGCCTTGAAATTTCGGTAGCAGTGCCATTTATTTTTACGTGATGGGGTTGCTGGCCTCATGCCCAACCTTCCCTCTTTACTAGTCTAATAACTGGCTTAGTGAGGTAAAGGAGTGAGTCGGCTGGGGATCGAACCCCGGACCATATGAGTGTTTGGCGAGCATCCTACCTTTGTGCCACAGACTTCACTATTACTTGCACAATATCCCGCAGGAATGAATTATAATTAATGTATTTAATTTATTTTGGCCGTCTTATACAGTTGTAACAGCTTCAGTCTTTTGAATGAATTATTTGAAAGCGTAAAGTATTATAAAGAACGTAAAGAAATAGTCGACAGTGAATCTTCACTTTCATTTGGGCTAGTAGTTTAACTTCAGCGAATGTTCTTTGTCAAAGAAAGCAGTGATTTTGCATACATATGGTACGTGCCCTAAACACACCAACCACCAGAGTTTCGCAACCTCATCGATTGACTGCACGCCTGACCTCTCTATAACTGATCACAGTTTACCGCTTTAAACGAGAAACTAAACGCAGACATCTATGGCCAAAACAAAATCTAGTCTTTTCATGTCTTCAAACCCTAACTGTCATGTTTAACAGCATTAAATAAAATAGGAAAAGTCATCGTACAATAAATACTATTTTGGTGAGTACCCAGATATCATGACTACACCAAAGACGAGACAAGTTATCAGATGCCAAATGAGCCACTCGTACTTGTGCTAGAACTTCGTCAAGAAACAGTTCATTTGAGTTAGTATAACCTCTCAAATAAGTAAAATTATTTGGACTGAAACGTAACCTATAATTAAGATATTATTATGGAAGTATACTTTTGTTCGTGTCTATGAAAGCGAAGTGATCATTAGATCGAAGTCTGATAACAGTCTATCACAAAATGTCATTGTTACAAATACAATGTCAATGTTTTTTTGATATAAGGTGTTAAAAAAATCAAAACACTAAAATTTCACATGACTAAAAGATACTTTGTATGTAAGTATCTGTTCGGAACAAGCTGGATTCAGGAAAAGCAAATCATTTGCTGATTAAACTGCAACGCTACCTGTTATCATCCACAGAACATAGAATGGCAGTATTACCTCAACTTCACCGACTTCAAAAATGACTTCGATAGCGTTAACCGTAAACTGATGACGCCACATACTAAGTATTTCACAATGGAAGGTTCAACGAAACTTCCGAAGCGAAGATGGAGGTAAGAAAGGGCCGTCTACAACCACTGATGATACTTCTGACTGTGGTAAACTAGATTTCGCAAAAGAACGTGGAGAGCAGTAAGACGGGAATACGTCAATCTGACAAGAAGCTTCTAGAAGGTCTGAACATCGGACAAGATTTATATCTAATTTCACACAAACATGAAGATATACAGGAGGAAAGCAACAATTTGACGGAAGCTGCAGACAACAAAACAAAACTTCAAGTGAACATGGAGGTGATTAAGACACCAGACAACTAACAACAAGAAGCGGTCACCATCAACGGGAGACATCCAATGAAAGCACTTCTTTCGCTTCAGAATCGTTTCAGCTACAGATGGCATGTATGAGGATGTCAAAGACAACCAGGATGCGATCAAGAAAGCAAGACACACCTTCACTACTCTAAAATCACAGTGGAAATCTACCGCACTCAGACTAAGGAGTGAAATCCGAATTCTCAACACTACTGTCAAGTCAGTTCTTCTATATGTTTCAGAGACTTGGCGCGTGCATTTCTGAAAGCGTTACGAAACTGACTCAAACTTTTATCGAAAGTTGCCTTAACTGGTTGGATACTGAAGACTAAATTGCCGGTCAGAAAGGATTAGTAACAAAGAACTCTGACAGTGTACCAACCATGGACTCATAGCCTAAAAAATATGCCAACAAAAAAAGATGGGATGAACACACGCTGAAGAGACATTTGAGTGACATCACGCACCAAGCAAAGCCTCGATTGGAACCCAAATGGGAAACCACAAATGCAGTGGTCAGAAAGTGACATGAAGGTGATCGTGGGAGAGGGAGATAAAAGCTAATCGGTAGTTCTGTAGTTAACTAATAAAGACATCGGAGAACAGAGTGAAATTGTGATATGCTGTCTAACCCCAAAGTCCCACTTTGAACCTAAGGGACTAATAATAAAAAATAATCATAATTTAATTGGTGGATAGTGACTAGCAGTGGAATCCAGGATGCGCATTTCGTCCTATTTGGGACTCGTCATCTGGATGTAACTGCATTCCCCAGTGGGTGATGATATTCCCACTGAGGCTCGAACCCAGTGCCCGTAGTTTCAAGTGCCAAAGCGTTATCCACTAGACCACTTGGGCCACGAGATCCACCTCGTATGCGACGGGTCATATTAATTATTTAATTCAGTCTTAGATTTTCCCGTTGATTGATTGGACCAGAGTGCTCGGTCTCAGGTTGACATGTCGGCTTCTTGTGCAGATACTTCGATGATGTCTGGACATGTAATTAGAATCGTCAAAACCTCTGCACAAGAAGCCAACATGTCAACCTGAAACCGAGCACTTCAGTCCAATCAATCGACGGAAAAATCTAAAATTCAATTAAGTAATAATCTTAATGTCTTCTGCAAACTATCAAGTAAAATCTCTCTGTAAACAAACTCATTTTGTAAATTCTACTTTTGTTACAAATGCGGCTACAACGCATCTTCAATTCATCACATGAAATTCAGACAGCAGGTTGACAAATTTTGCAATATTTTTAAATATACATTCTGTTAGCCTAATTTTGTGCATAATCGAACAAACGATTCGTGTTTTATACAAAAGACTAGGCCGGTGCCAATTTGAAAAAAATAGTTGTATAACAAGTGATGTAAAACAAGGTTTTACTTACTTTCTCTTCCCTCCTTTTAACTCCTTTATTTACATATTTTCTCAGTGCAAGTGATTGATCACTATTTAACTGTTTCCATCTTTCTTCTTTCTGTTTAGTTAAATGATCAATCATCTGTTGAAGTAGAGGATCACTTTTATAAATATCTTCTTTTGTGAAAGTATGATTGCTAATAGTGGATGCATTTCTATGGTAGACAAAAAGTACAAGTAAATATGTTGAAATTAAAAGTCTTTTATATCAACTGTATAACAATTATTTACCTACTTACAGGTAAAATGTAATTTAGATTTACATCTCGATTATTAGAATATAAAATCTTAATAAGATACACAAGTCAAAACAATAAAGATTGTTTATATATAAGTAATTAGTTTTTCTGATATAAAACCTGCCTTTTATCATTGATTCTCGAGGTTGTTTACTGACTGTAAAATAGATTTAACAAAGGCTAGAGAAGGAAGGACCAGAAGTTAAAACACTTACTCTATAGCTGTCTTATAACAGTCAAAAACAGTTGTGTTTTTTCTTCAAATGAACACCTACGATGGCAACATTTCAACTCAATCAATAAGAAATTCAAAAAGACTCCTTCTAAATATCCCTAGGTTCGTTATTTTAGCATTATTTCCTAAAAAGTTAAAGCACAACATGATCTTCTCCATTCGTAAGTATCAGTTGAATACAACATGGAAAACGGACATTATTTTTCAGCTTATTTTAAAGTTTTGCTTAAATCGCTGTAACCAACTGTTGAACGGTATGTCCAAAAGAGGCATAAAGTGACATGTCGTTTAATAAAGGCATACTTTGATAATATTTCAAAACATATAGTCTACGATACAGCATGAAAGTTGTGTCATCCAACCTGGCAAATTGACTGGCTAACTGACTGAGTTATCAACATAGACCTATGCACAGAAGTGCTGGGGTTCTTGTAACACACAGAGGTAGATAAAGGAGAGAAAAAGAAATGCAAAAGAACTATAATAAGCATAAATGTGAAGGAGAAAGATTAGTAACATGGAAAAGCGTGGAATTTAAGTAGATATCAGAGATCAGAAAGAGTATATGCATCTTCGGCGTTGCAGACGATTCGGAGGCATATCACCAACAGTCTCCAGTTATTGATTCTTAGAATCCTGTGGAATCCTACGTGGATCAAAATAACTGTTAGAGACTTCATGGACTGATTCTAGCTTTTGGTTTGACCATTCTTTACTCTTTTGCAACCTAATTCGATGTCAGGCAACATCGAACATCGAGGAAGACGGTGGTTCAAAATTCACAATCGATGTAGCTCAACAACTTCATAGACCGACTTACCTTAACTTAACTAGTACTCTACGTCTAGCCTCAATATTGCCTACCACTATTCATCTAACAGACCATGGTACACTCATGATAGACGGATTTCGGTCAACACACCTAGATACGGGTGCTATGAAGCATATCAAATATAATTCATGCAGAAAGTCTAAGAAATCAATTGGAGTGTTTTTCATTCTCTCGATGCTTAGCAAGCATTTTTCCAATATTTATTAGTAATTGAAATGATGGAAAAATGACTTGGAGTAAGCATTTACCTACTCTATGCGTCAGTAATAGGACCAAGGCGAATATATTAGTAAAGGCTTTAAATGAAGACTTATTAGTTGAAACAATCTTTTTATCAACAAAACATAAATGCTAGTCACAGCTTTAAGTCTAGACAAGACCTTATACGGTATGTTATCGTGAATAGGACGTTGTTTCTTCATACAAGAGAAATACATCTAAAATATGGCATACTAACTGGTAAATACAGACAGTTTTATCACAGTTGATTAGTACATTAGTGAAACAAACTAGAAATTATTAAGTTTTATGTTGGGAAATATTCACTCATAAACAAAAGATTCAATCTTCTTTTCTCTTTCACGTCTTAAAAGCTTCTAAAACAACTGTAAAACAAATGATGATGACTAGATTGTTTTATCATGAATGATTTTCATTGAAAAAAAATGATTATTATCGCACGATTTACACTAACTAAACATTACTTCTCATGAGTCTTTAGCTGGTCACAAAAGTATCAGTGATACAAAAGCTTATTATGCATATGATTTAACTATCCTACAAAGACATACGAAACTAGTGGCGTTTCGGTTGTAACGGGAAGATTGTTTAACAAAACCCTCCCTAACGATCTAATCACAATATTTATACTCATCTCGACGTTTCAACTGAATTTGTAATTACTCTCCATTTTTCTCCAAGAGTGTATATCGTTACTTTTACATTTGTGTATCACATTATTTGTCTTTGTCCTTCTTTCATCTCTAATTCTAATGCTTCTCTTTATGGTTGTGTGTGCACTGATAATGTGTTGTGAGATGTGATTTTGTCTGAGTGAATGAAGATCATTTCTGACCTGGCACTGTCTGTGGGAATTGTTGGTGTGCGATTCTTTTGGACAGAGTTTTCATCCCACCTTGTTGGGAATATTCTGCTTGATTCCAGGTGTTCGTTTCGTACTTAGACTGGACAGTATAGCTGCCCAACGGCATTGCTGAGGTAATTTTGATTTTTTGATTATTATTATCGAGTAATAATTGTCTTTTTCCTGTCTTTGGAGTGTTTTGTGACTGTGTGAGTCTCAGAGAAGCATTGTTAGCTATAGAGTAGGACGTAGAAATCTACTTTCTGCGTTCAGATCACAACGAGTTGGATTCGGTAGTGAAATGGTTACTTTGTGTAAAACGCTGAAATACTTAAGCACACATTGCTGGAAGAGCAATAGCCAAGGACGAGTTTATAATGATTCTGCTTGTGTATTTAGGAAGAAGAAAGTTCGTTCACAGTGGTGATCCATCCACCACATAAAAAAGACTATGTAAATCTTGATGGTATATGTGCATGAATATGAACAGCACTCAGCAGCCAGTGTAGTGTTAATCATCAAAAAGACTTTTAAGCACCTAACAAAGGAGAAGTACACTAGTGTAATAATCAAGTGTCTCTTTATGAAACTTAAAGCATCATCCAAACTGTACTCTAAAGACTTAATCAAAATAAGTTGAATAAGGCATATCCCATTAGATATTTAAGATACGAAAATGAAAAATTCGTCTAGATGACTGTCAAACAAAAAGTTTTCATCAGACAGGCACTTAAAGACGATGAATGGGTTTTTCATAGAAAACCATATATTGAATATTACATTAAATTTTCATGCTGTAAAATTAGCAGTTGTATCTAAGAAGCAGAACATGCTCTTCATGTCACTTTCAATAATATCAAGCTATTTAATAGCATGTACTCTGGAAAAAGAAGAGAGCTTAGCCTTCAAGAGCATCTGAATTTGTGCCACGAAATATACCGTGAAGAAATAGCACTGAATCAAGTACACTGTTATGAGTATGTCCATATATTATTTCCTGAAAACTGTCGTTAAGTTTTCGACTCTAATCATATACTTTCTCATTTTACTATCATTTTAATACTGTTGTGTTTTCTCCACTTTGTCATACTGTGAAATATGCCTTAAGTGTAGGTAATGTCATGTAAAAATTTTAAGTTATGTGACCAGTAGTTGTTTTTACATGACTGCACATCCCAGCAGTATCCAACCTACCTCATTCACAACATGACTTATAGTTTTCAACGCTCCTGAAGTCTTTCCAAGTGAATAACTCTTATCAATATCTCCTCGCTACCACACAAGATTAAAGTACCCAGCTTGTCTATGGATATCGCTCCTAACACCAACATTCTGTGCGTAATTTTTGATGATATTATTAATTTAAAATTCTGTGTAATAAGCAGTCATAAGAACTCTCATTAATATAATTGAAATTCATTTGCAATATTATTATTATTTATTACTGTATCCTTTAATTCCTAGAGGAACATAGGGCTTCAGCCGTGCGTCTCCATTGCGTTCGGTTCTCTGCTAGAGTCTTCACCTGACTCCAAGTCTGCCCACACGTTTTCATCTCCTCTTCACATGACCTCCTCCAAGTCACCCTTGCACTGACGACCAACTCGCCGCTTCCCTACTCGAGGGCTTGTCTAGTGATGTCACTTGATGGTTTCCTCAGAGTATGGCCAATCCATCTCCATTTCTTCCTGCCTATTTATTTCACAATCGGTTCCTGGTTGGTTCGCTCATTGCCAGAGATCTCTGTTGCTGATCTTTCCTGGCCATCTGATCTTGAGTATTGAGCGAAGACAACTGTTAATGAAGGTCTGTAGTTTGTTTGAGATGCTCTTTATGACGCGCAGTGCAAGTCTCTGATCCGTATAGTAGCACCGACTTCACATTGGAGTTGAAAATCTGGATCTTATTTTTGATGCTGAGTGCTGTTGATCTCCACACAGGCTTGAGAGTAGTGAAAGCTTGTCTTGCTTTCCCGATTCTTGCTTTGATATCCTCGTCAGTTCCGCCTGTAGTTGAGACGATGCTTCCCAGGTAGGTAAAAGAGGTTGTTTCTTTCAGGTTCCTTCCATTTATGCTGATTGTTGTCTGTTGTTGTTGTTGCTGTTGGTGGTGTTGCAATATATATATATATATATATATTATCAACCTATATTGTTTGCCGTTCAAGTCGGCTAAGTCAAATATAAGACTACATTATGTCTTCAGTTTAGAAAAGCACTACATTTAAAAGTAGACGCTATTCAAAAACAAAAATGAAACCACTATCTAATACTTATTAATATTGAGGGATGAACCGAATTCCGATAGACCCGTAGTATGCCAAGTATTACCACTTTGATATATTGTAGAATATTATCAAATGTTTTCGTTGTACTGAACGACTATCATTCAAAACTCTCCAATGTTTCATAGCATGAATAAATGAATTTACTTTGAGTTAGATCGTCAGTTGACATCAGCTAAACAATCGCTGAAGATCAAGAAGTACAGGATAGTTGTTTCTTCCTAGTGTGCGACTCTTCATCAGAACGCGTCCATAACCTCACAAGGAATTGAATTGAATAAGGAACCTTCTAGTTACAAAGCCCAGTCCATTGATTTGGCAGAAGTTGAAACAAATCGCCAGTTCAGTTCCACCTCACTAAGTGAATGATGAACAGCCTCACTCCCTAAACTGTAGATCCTGTGCTCAGTCCCTGATGAGCTGATGTGTGTGCACTGCTGAGAAGTCCAGAACTAAAACAAAACAGATGTCTAATACTCAATGATTTCCAGCTGTTCTTAAACTGACATCAGCTTGAGATCCATTTGAAAACCGACCAAACACCTTCACACCAATTTTGGAAGAATAAATTAAATAATTTATGAAGAAAAAGAATATCATTCTCTTCACTTCATATATCCTTACTTTTACATGATTAGTACAGATATGAGAACACTGAACATGAATTGAGTTTTTCCCTTAGGAAAATTCATTCGGCATTATTACAGATAAATGAATAAGAAAGTGGGATGATACTTAACCTGTGTATAATGATATATCGGATAACGAAAAAGCATCTGTATAACTCAAGCTAATATTATTATTTTTTGAGCACCTAAAGAAAAAATATGAATACCTCTTCATTTCGCCTTAAGGTGAATTATTCCAAAATCAGGCAGTGAAATTACTGATAACGCAGACAGTTTAGTTTCAGATATATCACAAGACGCTGGCAATTATTTTCGCAATAAGCATTTCAGACATTTTTAAGTCGAAAAAAATAGTTAGGTATGATATTTAATAGCAGTCTCAATTCAATCGCTATTCTTTTCCACAATTGGTTTTAAAGTCGCAATTATCATTGACCAAATTTAAAATTGTCTAAAAATTATACAGTTTTCTGACTGCACTTGCCTCCGGCCTCTTTCTACGGACTAATCTCTCCTATTATACAACTTCCTCTGTTCTGACGTGTTGTATACGTTACAAGAGTAATTATTACTTAAGTGATCTGACAGCTGGAAACTCAGTTTCACAATAACGAATAAATTGATCAGGGAAACTGACCATCTTACTCCATTGTGAGGTGTGTGAAAATATAATGGCATGGTTTTGCATTTACCAGTGTCTTATAGTGTGAAACCTGATTATATACGACGGTTTCAGTGTGATGCGCTGTAAGTTACTTGTATTGTTCATGTATGGCTGTCTACCTCTTCCTTAATGCATCTGACTACATTGGTAACTATAGTCAAGAGCTGTGAAACAATATTAGGAATATCGACGAAATTTTCTCAGCATCACTTACCATGTTATCTAGAATACAAGGTATCTAAAGATGGATTTTCCTTGTATGAAGTTATGGCATACTTGAAGTCTCTTCCATGAAATTGACCTAATTACAGTATGTTTGATAACAAAACACACACGACACTGACACATATCTGACAATAAATAAGACACTTTCTTCAGGTTTCCTCATTTTACTTTAGTGACTTGTGACTTTCTATTCAGTCGGCAAAGCAAGTAAATGCAAAGTTATCCTATATTCTGTTTATGTCACTCTGTAATTAAAAGCATTTTGTAGTATGCAGAGTTCCCACACAACCCACTGTTTTCGTCATAGTTCTGTGTGATTCTATTCGGCTTAACCACTAGTATTTTATTTTTTTATTTTGATTTACAGGTTGATTCCACACCGTATTTTCAGTACAAGTGTGGAATTTTCAGCATGGATATCGGTAGCCCAAATTCAGGCCGACCATAGATATCGGGTGTGCGCCGGCAGGGGATCGAACCGCGGACCATGTGCATGGTCGGCGAGAGTCCTAACCACTGTGCCACCGACGCACATTGTATCAGAATATTTGTTCTCCTTGATAGATAGAAATGAAGTTAAGCTTAAAAGTAGTTCAGTGCTAGATTTCAATTCTAACCACGAATTGATTTCATTCAGAGGACGACTGAAAACTAGGGAGTGCTGAACAACCATTTCGCGTTGTCTGAGACTCTTCAACAGCACACGACCATGACTCCAGTTGGGATCGAACACAGGCGAACTCATGTTTCATTTAGCCACTGAAATGGAATGCAGTGGCCCATCAATACTAACTTCTGTCATTTCGTGACATAACGTGATGTAGTTCTTCTTGTAATCTGAAGGCCCTGGAGTTGATCCCTGGCGGGGTCATTAGTGCATACTGCTGAAGAGTGTCAAGCTGAAACTACGTGGCTGTCCAGTACTTCGTGGTTCTCAATGGTTTTCTAACTGAAGTCAAATCGTGATCAAAACTGAAACCAATCAGATGCCTACAAACCAATATTTCAATAATAAATGGAAAGAACTTGTCACAACGACAAACACAGTCATTCAGACATCTATAAAACACAAAATAATCGAGCAAAGTATATTCTTTTCGATAAATTCCTCTTCCAGGCTCTACAATTATATATATGTTTATATACACAGAATATTTTAAATTAGTAGTTAATAACAATATTAGCGTTTTTTAAATACTATCGAATTGTAAAGTATGATCAATGCTATTGCAGTTCATTGAAATACAAACGCAATCTAATAAAGTGCTTGGTCCACAGAGCAAGAGAGATTTGTTCGGACGAATGTCTTGACGAGGAGCTTAACAATGTTAAACGGTTGCTAAGTGAGAATGGTTATCCCGAAAAGTTTATTGATAAGAATATGAATCTAAAACCAAAACAGTCCAAGTTACCAACAGTTCCAAAGAAAGCCTTGTTCTTACAGATGCAGTTCCTAGGAGACAACACCAGTCAGACATTAACACAGTGCCTTAGAAATGCGGTGAAAAGAGCATTCCCTGCTGCTGAATTACGCTGTATCTTCAAAACCACTCCTCTTCTGCTTTCGGGAATAAAAGACAAACTGCCTGATTTCGCCTCTTTCATGTGTATCTACCAATTTAACTGCTCCTGTGGAGCCAGTTACAAAGACCGTACAATTAGGCGTGTTTCTCGTCGAATTTCCGAATGTCACTCTGCGTAGTTAAGCAAAGAACAAACAAAATCTATTCGCAGAGCTATTCTGTCTCATCTTGTGGAGACAGAACACAAGATTGACGTTAATCATGCTTTCAGGGTCATTTACCGCATACCTACGAATCTCAATTTTGCCTTAAGAGTTCGACTTCTAAATATTGCTGAGGCTGTGGGGATTCATATTAATAAGCCTAATTTATGCATTCAAAAGAAGTTTGTTCAGTCATTATCATTACCTTGGCCATCCAGGTTTGAATAATCCAGAATTTTGTGAAATTTTCCTAATTTTAGTTGATATTCTATTCGCTACTATACCTTTACTACTATTATAATTTAAGCATCTTTAATGAACTGTAATTGCATTGATCATACTTTACAAATCGATATTATTTAAAAAACACTAATATTGTTATTAACTACTAATTTAAAATATTCTGTGTACATAAACATATATATATAACTGTAGAGCCGGAATAGGAATTTATCGAAAGGGATATTCTTTGCTCGATTATTTTGTGTTTTATAAACACAGTCATGTTAACACGAATTTTACCAATAGAAACATCAAATAAACTTCTTTAGTTTTTAATAATTATTAAAATAACACATAAAGCTCTACAGCTTACTGCCTGTTAGTCAGTGTTGCTCCAACTGCAGCCACTGTTTTCACACTACGATGCTTACTAATTCGATTGAGTGCTTCGCATAAAACTTTCGTCTTCTGCTCTTTAAGGCTTTGTATAGCATCTCTTTTCTCTTCTAATTCACGTTGTCTTTTGGATTTCAACTGATCAAGGCGTTCTCTCAATTCAACAATGGACATTTCATTTAACAGACCATATCCGGGAGTATCAGCTAAATCAACCTGGTGATATACACGAACAAATAAGAAAAATTAATAGCTAGTTTAAAACTCATTCATTAACAAGAATCTAATTACTGTTAAGTATAAAAATAACATTCAACACACCACAATATTATAGGGTGAAATAATGGGCCAAGGAAAACGTTGATAAATCTGTAATGTTAATAAAGAAAATCACCAATTTCAAATTATGCAGAAATTTTTTGTAATCTACATTCTCAAGTATTGGTTTTGTGGGGATTTTGTTTGATTACATGGAAGATTTCATCATGAGCTGACATCAGCTGAAGAACCACTGGAGAACCTGGGAGTACTGGACAGCTGTTTCGCCCTAGTTTGGGACTCTTCAGCTAGGACGAAACAGCTGTCCAGTACTCCCAGGTTTTCCAGTGGTTCTTCAACTGATGTCAGCTCATGATGAAATCCTCCATGAAATCTAAATTCATTGTCACTTTGATGAAGCACTTATTTAGCGACCGCCTAAAATAATATCATTACAACTAAAAGGAAAACTAACTAGGAAGGCATTAGAGAACCTGAGTCATTCAAACTATACAGCCTAATATATCAAAAGCAGTCGTTATTGCTATTAACTTAAAATACTGTAAGTCATTATAGATATGGTCAATTTTACCGAGAGAAAATAGTAACTTTTGCTATTTCGAATTGAAAATCTCCTGTCTACGAATATATCAGCATCATTTTTAGGTTGATAGAATCCATTGCGTTTCTTTTATTTGGTAATTCTCTAACACACCCTTTTAAGCAGGAGAATAGTGTATTTTCGTATTTCCAGTTTGGTTACATCAGTTAGAGAACCATTGGAAACTAAGGAAGCGAGAATTGATGAACCATTGGATCCAGTATCAATGGTTGGATGGTCAGCAGGCTTGCCTATAACTTGAAGGTTCAGATTCCTATCCCCGGTGTTCTCATGAGTGAGTATTGCTGAAGAGTACCGAACAAGGACGAAACTTTTGCTTCTCACTCATTGGTTTTCATTGGTTCTCTAACTGAAGTCAGTTCATGATCAAACTTTAAATCAACCAAATCCCTGGAAATTAACACTTGAAAATTCTCGGATTTATTACATAAAGTACTATCAGTAGCTATCGTAGCTTTATTTAGTTTAGCTAAATGAGTGAAATAAAATATTTCCACTAAAGTTAGAAAAGCATAGTTGTGAAAGTGGAGTTACAACATTCATGTTAACAAAAAAAGACTACAACTGTTATCACAGAAGTAAACAAACAGTCTGGCAAAGTAGACAGCTAATTCGATTTGGTAATGAATGAGGTCAAAAACAGAAACAATCAAATGTCAGCTAAATAGAGCACAAAAGAAATAAATCCTTGGAGAATTCGATGAAAGGAACTTTTGCTGAACTGTTTGCTTCTATTCCCATTTCAGTATGAGTGTCTTCATGTCTTAAAAGAAATAATTTAAACCAATAAATAACAGTAGCTTGATAATTCTCCAAAGATGTAAGAATGATTATATATCAACTCAAACAACTGACTGTCTAATTTTATCTTAATGTCATTCCAATAATCAAACAATAATAGAAATCTCAATTTTAACTGTTGACTTAATCAACCATATGTGAACAATTCACTGCAATTTATTTCGGTATACTTTATTCCTATCGTTCGATAATGATTTGGACTAATAACCTTATATTTGTCATTATCCTATGCTTATCTCCTGTATTTGTTTCTCAGTAGAAACATTTGAATGACACTTTTTATTCGTTGATTCTCTTGCTAATATCATTTTCTACCGTTAATAGTAGTGAAAAGCTTAAATCCGAAAAAATTAATGAATTTTACGTATTATACTTTTAGCTACTTATATTTACTTAAAGTAAGAACAACTTAAATAAACAAACTGACAGAAACTATAAGACTTTCCAAACTTGAAATTTCGTTAAAAAACACCCCTGATAGTGATAAAGAACTATGATATAATCAAGAGGTTAACTGAACACTATCCCAGAACATCTCAGTCTAACTAAATTGTAGTGGAATTTGAAATGCTAAAATATAGTCTTATAACTTCTCATTCTATCACTTACATAGAAATGCAAGTACAGTGTCATCTAAGGTGAATGCATAGTTGAAATGAAGTTTGCTTATTGGATAACATTCTGGATGATACAGTCACTGAAGGAAGAATAAACGAACACGCTAGAAACCACTGACTATAAGTATCTTCATGCACTTAATTGCATTGCAGATATTAACCTGATAATCAACAATGAGGCTAGACGTAAACTATTAGACACTGAGTGACAGTCACTCAATAAAAGGTTATGGAGGTTCATCAGTGAAGGTGGCGAGAACATGTGTTAGGAAATCTGAGTCACCATTTCTGTCGAAGAACAACAGTAGCTGAAGTAGCATTAGAGTGGAAAATATTATTGACTGTTCAGACTGAAACATGAAACTAATCCATGAAGACAATAACATCAGCTCATGATGAAATCCTGTAACCAATCAATCAAATCCCTACAAATCACTACTTGAATGTCAATGAGATGCTCACTAGCAACTGGCCCTATTCATGTAGGTAGTTAGTTTTCTGGGGTTCTAGGGGGGGATTTCGTGACCAGTAGGGTACAGCAGGTCGGATGTGAGGACAAATACTCGCCGAAGACATCGGCTAGTGGTCGCGCTATGTCATGAATCGGGAGAAGCTGGAATTCATGGGCCATTGGATTGGGTCTCAGTGGTCTAGTAGTCTACAAGGTCACCTTATAACCGGAAAGTCCTGGGTATGAACCCCAGTGGGTGCTTACCGCTAAAGAGCCCCAATCTAGAATGAAACAGCTGTCCAGTACTCCCAGCTGGCTTTCCAACGGTTCTCTAACCGATGTCAGCTCATAATGAAATCCTGCAACTAATCAATCAAATCCCTACAAACTAATACTTGAAAAACAATGGATTTTCATCGTAGTCACGCAGAAGGATGTTGACTATTTGTCAAAAACCAACAAAACGGTGAAAGTTAGCGATCAGAGAGTCAGTGCAACATGTTTCAAAGTAGGTCGCAATGGCAGAAGCGTTTGCTTATTTTATGTTCCAATCTCTGAAAATCTTCAGCAATGTTTATCCACTTACTTTGTCTCCTCTAAACTTACATGTATTAGAGGTACATCAAACTTTTCTCTACTCGTATACGTACTTTTTAAGCGCTGTTAGGTAAGTCAGTTAATCAGTCCCTAATATGTGGATTATTTTGATAATAAAACTCATACTTTTATACTGTTAAACCTCATGTAACAAAATCTTTTCGACACATCTAACGATGAAAATATTAGTTTTCATGCGAGCCATTAAAAAAACCAAACTTTACCCAAGGCGGAATCCTTAGGGTAATCCATATGAGATCGTGACCTCATCGTAACAGTTACTAAAAAGTCAGTGGTTTGGTTTTGATTTGTTTTTGCAACAGGTTATAAGCTACAACTATTTGCGTAAGAGCTGATGAATAGGTAAAAGTTGGTGGAGCCAAATTGAAAGCCAGGATCTAACTGTATAAGAGTCAAACATTAAAGCTAATAAGTCACATTTTCCGCAAATATGAAAACAATTCATCTAAGTGATTCATTCAGGGAATATCCACAGAATGAACTTAATAAATAGTATAACACCAGGTATTTTGACTCAGTGGACAATATAATATTTTCCTTCATGGCTAACCTGTTTCGTATTTAATGATTTTGTCATTATTGCTGATGATTCTTCGGCTTGAATTTTCGCGATCAATTCCTTTTTCATTTTCTTTTCTTCCTCAGCTTTTTTATGAGCTTCATCAAGCAGAAGTTTACTTTCTTTAACTATTTCAGCAGCTAAAATTGCAGACAAAACCATGGAACACATCATTTTTTTTCATTTACAACAAATAAAAGGTAATCTCTTTAAATGAAAACAATAAAATCTAATCATCACTTATCCGTAAAATTCAAAGAAAATATGCATGTACAAAAAGGATAACAAAGAAACGTGATTGATCTATTCATTGCTACTTAGAATACGTTGTTGTTTACAAGTGACTAATTGTAAACTGTCAACCGTGTGAACATACAAATGAACGCCAATTGATAAACAGTAATGAATATATTTCTGTGCCAGAACCCTGTTGCTCATTGTAGATCACAAAAATTTCACAATGGATATGAAGGTAAAACAATCTACAGCATTTGCTGAACTTAAGTTTTGCATTTGTTGATACACATCACAGAGACATGCCTGTGACTTTGGAGGAAGCTTTGTTTCCTTTTTAATATCAAAACCTGTATCACTTAGTTCCAAAGTTTATGACTTTATTGTTTTTTTGATAGACTCCTCTCAAAATATAATTGAAAAATACAGTTTACTACATTGTATATATCTGACTGTCATATCTCAGTCAATAAACTGCTAACTGGACAGCAGTAATACTTACTATCTAAAGATCGAGTAAAACATCCATTCCAGTTCTACTGGAGGTCAGTTGTCAGTTCAACAGCTTAGTAGTGAAGTCTCTGAATTCAACACTGGGTGACATGGTCTTCCTTCTCGCAAGTAAAATCAGTTCGCTTAATATTCAAGTATGCCTTGCTGAGTAATATCAGTGAGTACATGTGTGGTCAGCACACGTCGGCCGGGGCTAGACTAACTACTGTCAATAAAAATTACCAAGCGAAATAGCTATGAAGAAATTAAGTAAATCACTTCAAAGAACTTTTAATGCTGGCGAACTACACGTCTTATTCTCTACACGAAAGATGGTGATTCCCCGACTGAAAGATGAAGTACTTAGACTAGCCAATTCTAATTGTATCAACCAATCCAACTGCACTTGCAGTACAGCGAGTTATATCGGCCGTTGTTCGAGGAACTTGATTTTTTGTGCTCGAGAACATCTCCCACTATGGCTAAGTAAAGGTGTAGTAAAAACCATCAACAGTTCGATATTAGACCATCTGGTCCAAATCGGCCACAAAACCAGCATTCAAGAATCCTTCTCTATCATCTACCCGGTACCAAATGAATTACTGAAAAAATCCAGGTACCACAAGCTCCAAACAGCAGAGGCTATCGCAATTCGCATGAAACAACCAGTGCTTTGTGTGCAAAAGAAGCAAGTTCAGCCACTACTACTGCCATGGCCAGCCTTTGGTAGAGATTATAAATTCATGAATTTGTAATATTATCTTTCCTAATTTTTCTGACATTCAGTTTATTGTTATGTTGATGCTATTGAACTGTAATCCATTGATATTATTATTGATTCGATGTTATTTAAACAACATTAATGTTGTTCATAACACTATCATTCATTCACTATTATGTATATATAACTGTAGAACTGATGATGAAGTTATCGAAAAGAGTATTCTTTGTTCAGTAACGATTCTTTTGAAAATAAAATTACGTCACATTTTATTTATTTATTTTGATGTTGATACTGATAATATTGTGCAGAACAGCAACTAAAACTTCTCAATTCCCTCACCAAGGTCAGACAGCACTATAACATAATGAACTATCTACAGCAGCTCTAAATATTCGCCAGTACTTTGAAATGATCTGCAAATTTCATCAACAAACGCCTCCAAACAACAAATCGGAATTTTTGAAATGTCATCTTATATTACTGTTTTTAAAATCTAAAGTAGGAGGGAGGGTTTTGGTAACATGTTTAACATGTATATGTGTGTGCATTTTCCATAAATAAGTTAACTGTTTTGTAGGTTTTATTAGTAGATTAATGAAACCGATTACTACATGTGGTTTATTTATAAACTTCAGTCAAATTTATTTCATAGGCAAATTCCCAAATATGTTCAGCACCAATCTGCTAGACTTCGTAATTATTATTATTTTGTTGGGTCCCAAGTGGAACATAGAACTTCAACAGCACATCTCCATTTCATGCTTTTCTCTGAAGTTCTTTACAGATGGCTTCACGATTCCCTCTATGTCACCTTCAAACCAATGCCTAACTTTTCTTTTTCCTTTCAGGTTCTGCTTGAGGGCCTCCGTTGCACGCGATGTCACTCAGCGTTTTCCTCAGGATGTGTTGGATCCATCTCCATATTTCTTGTATAATAGATTTGCGTGTCACTTACCCTTTCTGCCCGGCCATCTGATCGTCGGTGTGGAGTAAAAGCAGCTGTGATAAGTAAGCCTGTTCAAAATGCTTTACATTACGAACAATATAGAAGAACTATTTTTACATTAGTGTTGAAAATCCCCATCTAGTTCTTTGTGCTGAGTACAATGGATTTACATAATGATTTCCTTGTATTGAAGGTCTGCCTTGCTTTTGCGATTCTGGTTGGCTTAAATATCCTTATTTGTATCAACTGCAGTTGAAACTATGCTGCCTAAACAAGTAAAAGAGGTACTTTCTTGTAGATTTCTCCCGCTGAAGCGAATAGTTGCTGTTATAGTGTCTTCATCATCTCTATCTTCTCTGTACTCATTTGAAATCTCCTAGATGACTGGAAATTAAAAATTCTAAGTCTACAAATGTAAATCTTCTTTTTTTCTACTATCTACCCATTAATATTACTCACCTGGGGTTCTAGTGGGAAGTCATGGCCAGTAGGGTACAGCAGGTCGGGCGTGACGACAAATACTCGCCGAAGACATTGGCTAGTGGCTGCGCTATGTTGTGAACTGGCTGAAGCTAGAATTCATGGACCATTGGATCGGGTCTCAGTGGCTTAAATGCTCTACAAGCTCATCCTGTAACTAGAAGGTCCTGGGTTCAAACCCTGGCGGTAGGTGCGCATTGACGAAGAGCCCAAAACTACGACGAAACAGCTGTCCAGTACTCCCAGGTTTTGCAGCGGTTTTCTAACCGATGTCAACTCATCATGAAATCCTGTAACCTGTTATGATTTCGGTTTTTCACCGATATCATGACTAATGTCTACTGCAAAACCCAGTATATTTGAATTACACACCAAGGAAAATGCATAAATACACATACCTAATTTTCTTTTCTCTTTCATTACTTTCTTCTTGGCAATTTTAGCATTTTCATGTGTACTGGCAATTTCTTTAGCTATTTTGTTCATTGTAGCTTGTTGCAATTTCTTTGCTTTCATTAATTCCATAAGTTTTTGATTTTTTTCATTTTTTAACTGATTAACATTGTTACGTCGTTTACAATAAAGATTATGCTTAGCTATTGATGAAGCTTCGTGACTTATCATTGCATTCAAACGATTACGCTCCACTTGTTTTAATTGATTCAATTTAATTTTAGCCTCTTCTTCTGTTTTCCATGCCATATAAGCTGCATCTGTAAAAGCTCCAGATTCCAGTTCAGTAAGTCTACGTAAAGTGAAAAGAAAGTTGAAGATGAGGCAGTAACTCATCAAAGAAGACATTGCGAAGTGGTCACGCTATTTCGTGAATTGGCAGAAGTTAGAATTCATGGGCCACTGGATCGAGTCCCATTGGCTTCATGGTCTACTAGCTCGCCAGCCTTGTAACCAGAAGGTCCTGGATTCGAACCCCGGTGGGTGCGTACTGCTAAAGAGTCTCAAAATAGGCTGACAAGACAGCTGTCCAGTACTCCCAGGTTTTCCAAGGGTTCTCTAACTGATGTCAGCTTATGATGAGATCCTCCATCCAATCAAAGTTTTCTGTCTTTTTTGATATTTTTAGAAATTTAAAGTAATTTCTTCAACATAATAATCAATTATCATGCTTAGGTTGGGCTATTAATTAAAATATCATTGACAGTGAATTCTCCTCTAGGCAAATTTCTAGGTTACCTTATGGGTGATCACTTACTAGACTTAACCTTCAGATGGTCTAGATTTCTTTACTCAGAAGTTCACGTGTGTTAATGAAATGTAAGAAACTTTACTCCTCATCCTTAGAGCATTAAAGAATCTAAAAGGTAATTCATTAGTCTCCGCAGAAATCACTGGACATTTTTCATGTATTACAATTAATAACTTGATTATTACGTATAACATAATTTTAGTTTAAATAGATTTTTAAGCAGCATGAACTTCAGATGACGGCTAATCAAACTTACACTGAGAAAGTGAATGTCCTGTAAAATGGAATTCGGTATGACACTTAATGAATAATTAATAAACGAATGGTAGTGTGGTGCAGCACTAATAATGATCATACACTTAGTTCGTCCCAATTTTCATGTGATAAGTTAAACCAACCCTTCTTCTTTGGGCATAACTCACACTGAACCCAAAAATGTGAAGCACAAATAATCAAACTAATGATAATTATATTTCAATAGTTTATACATAATGATAAGTTTTTTTGTTTTGGTAATATTTCAAGCAAAATTACTGCCCGTGACCATACCAACCGTTGAAATTATTTTTTAATTTTTACAAATTTATGATTTGTAATCATATATGTAGTTCATTTTTTGCTCGTTCACTTTTGTGTATCCAGAATTATACTGTAGGTTGCTGGCAGTTTGTGTTAAGTTATAGATTCTGTTATTAGTCTTTCCATTTGCTAGAATAGAATACAAACGTTGTCACAATCAATGCTGTGATTTTTATCCCGTGCACGGGCAGCTATGGACAAATTTATTCCTAAATTACTGTAGGTCTGAGTATACTTTTATTCACTCTTATTTTAGATGATCTAAACGTTTGACCCACATATTTACTCGGACATTTAGCACAAGATATTTTGTAAATTAAATGAATTTTACGCATCTTTTAGTTGATTTAAGCGTGTATTAAAAAGAAATTACAACAGTTGGTATGATCACAGACAGTAATTTTGCTCGAAATATTACCAAAACAAAAAATCTATCATTGTTTGTAAACTACTGAAATATAATTGTAATTAACTTGATCTATTCCTTAATGGACAAACTTTTTACTGATATAAACACAAATAATCAGCCTGGAAATTCTAAGTTTAACATAAACGATGAGATACCTAGTGACCTTTATATCTAACTTAAGATGGCTGCAGTTCGATACACTTAAACAATGCCAGAATGAAGGTCGTAGAGGTAAATAATTCCCGAGAAATATTAGTCTACAGAGCCCTTCACTAGACACTGGATGCTAAACTTCACTGTTTAAGTCGACTTGTTTATAGGATCAAGCACCCACATCATTCGACACGCTGTGTGTTACTTCGGTCGTTCGTCAACGATCCCTAGTTAGTTAAACAATCATCACTGTACGTTTCTGATTCCGTGATATAACCTGTATTCTGAACGATGAATGTGGTGTTGTCATCTGTCTCTAATCTCAGTAAAACAAGTAGTTTAGGAGTTACAGGGTAGAAACTTGTGTTTATATGCAGGCTATCTTGTGCAACCATTGACATCCTCCTACTCTTAAAAGGTCATTAGTATTTTAAAGATTTAGCTTCCCAGTGTTATCAGCGAAAGGGAAATATCCGCGAATTAATTTACTTATTTCAGCCTTATATAACGCAATCATCTTTTTATACCAATAAAGGTGAGGACATCTTCAATTCTTCTTTTCTGACATCATTTGAATAATTTTATTTAACTGGCCTGTGGGAATTTCGAATGAAATTATGTTATGGTGATTAAAACAATTGGTTTGCAGTTCAGACTGCCCAACTAAATATTCTGTAAACCTTCAATCAAATTATTTTTTCCTTAAAATTGTTCAAGTAGACTGTTTAAGAAATACACAAGACTGTATTCTATTGCGTAACTAATTAAGTAATTGTTAAAGTTACCCCCAAAGCTGATTCTATTCACCGCAGCAGATAAGTAACATTCTTCCCTCTCGTAAACGGCAATTTAATGACTTATCTTAATACCTTCTACTTAATAGGCAGACATAAAGTGCTACAAATTCTACTGACTAATTGCACACTGATAACGTCTGTTCATGAAACTCCTCAGAAACCAAAAACTATGCGTCTTTACATGTCTTTATCCAGAATAACAAAAAGTGTGAAACACGAAGTAATCTTCTTTATTTTTGGTGGTTACAATATAAATCAACAAATGAAGAAACTGGAAGTGAAACCATTTGACTTCTCACTGAACTTTGGAGTTAATCGATAGGATTTCATGCTTATCAGCACAAACCTGCAAGGTATTTATAAAGCCTCAAAGAAACCAAGATCTCCATCGAGATTCTAATGCACATAAACTAGTGTTGTTGTTAGAGATACTACCTCTGGGTTATTCAAGTATAACTTTACCATTAGATGACTAATAGTTTAATCTATTTGTCACAACCTAATGCGCCAAAAAGTTGAAGGAGATGGTTCTAATCTGCAGTACATCTCAAATTGTACAGTTAAATTATTCACATAAACAAAAGTGGCGCATAAATTACCATAGAGACATCAGTTTACGCATTTACTCCATTTTTGCTTTATGTTGATTTATAAAAAGTAAAACAAGCTGATTTCATAGTTATATCATCAACACTGTAATCAAAAATACAGAACTAAACCTTCCATTTAGAAAGTTCACTTCTTTTTTATTTTCAGTGGTTATAAAAGCAAAGATACGTTCTTTTAGCTACTTTATAACTGCTAAATACGATTTGCAGAAAATTCTCATAGGATATAAAGGAAACTAAAACAGTTGATTCGGTAGAAAGGCTCTTTCCAACAAAAATAAGTATCAATATGATATTTTAATAATGTTGTGAATCGGGAGAAAATATTTGGGATTACAATTGTAGTTAAACACCGAGCAAGGAAATAGGTTATGTACTTTATAAGATGATTCATGGAAGGCATAATTTTAGAAGGGAGTGGAGAATTAATGAAATTACTAGGCGACTAAAACATTACGCAACAAGGTGAGAATTATGATAAGACAACATTGAAAAAAAAGTTATATTGAATTAAATAGATAAAGGTGACACGTAAGATAATATCGGAAGTTGTTCAAATATGGTTGCAAGAGAGGTGGAAGGGGGGGGCTATGAGAAGTGTAATAAATGAACATCTGCTCAATACTGGTCATCTTATCTCAATAGTCTCTTCCTATAAGGTGAAAAAAATAACTTGCCAAAATCATTCACTATCAATTCATTTTACCGCTGAAGCTTTGGCCATCGAAATAGAAAAGTCAGATCTTTGTTTACAGAAAAAGCCTATTCAACTACTCTTTCTTTCATGGTCCCAATGAGTTTGTGCTAAATTATTATAATCCGTATTTCTACCCTAGCCCTATTTATTCTTCGTTTTGTTTATTCAGTTTGTATACCCTTCCTTTATTATTTCGATTGTTATTACTATTATTATTTTCACCTTGAACAATTTACGGCGTTATCTAACCTGTCACATTTATTTATTAAATTCAATATAACTGCTTTGTAATGTTATCGTATCATAATTCCCAGCATGTCATGTGATGTTTTAACAGTAAACACAATAATCAGAGAAGAGGCTCTTTTCACCTAACTTATTACCAAGCTGGACAATCGTGTATTTTCGGGTTTTTTGAAAAAACTATATCCAGAGAGGAAATTTAGACAAAGGTGTGAATAGAGGTTAATTGGTGGATGGTGACTAGCAGTGGAATCCAGGATGCGCATTTCCTCTTATTTGGCCGTTTTAAACTATGGGTACTGGGTTTGAGCCTCGGTGGTGGGAACATCATCACTCACTGAGGAATGCAGGTATATCCAGCTGACGAGTCCCAAATAGGACGAAATGCGCATCCTGGATTCCGCTGCTAGTCACCATCCACCAATTAACTTCTAATTACATGCCCAGACATCGTCGAAGCCTCTGCACAAGAAGCCGACATGTCAACCTGAGACCGAGCACTTCGGTCCAATCAATCGACGGAAAAATCTAAATTTGAATTAAAGGTGTGAATACTTAAAATAATAATAATATGAAATACAAGTAATTGTTTGTGATTAAAGTCATAGTTCAGCATCAAGTGCATAACGTATTTTGTTGCTTGATGTTTAACTACGATTATAATCACAAATGCTTAGTCGTAATTCACAGCTTGATAATAAATTCGCTGAAGAGACTGTCTTCTCTGAATCGCTTCTTTTAATTCTCTACATGTAAAATGAATAATATATGAAACAAGATGGTCAACTCTTTTTTATTCTGAGAAAAATATTAAATAATTCTCACTTTTTTCTTTGCTCCTTTTCTTTATCCAAGTAGAGTTTCCATTCACGTAGGATAGTAACAGCATTTGTATTTATCACTGTAGATGTATTTAATGCATTTACATAATTTCTGCACTTCAATTTCTTCTTTTTATTACTTCCTGCATTATCTGCATCTTCTTCTTTTGTAGTGATCACAGCACAGTTATTGACATTTAAATCTATATCACCTGTGGCATTGACCTGTTTTACACTCTTAGCAGTTGGTTCTGCACATCTTGGCTTAAGCCTATCACTCTCAGCTTTTAATTTTTCAATCTGCTTTTCGATATGTGAAAAGAAAAGTAAAATTTAGACATTTTTGAGAAATCTTTCCCAAGAAAAGATCAAATTTACTACAAAAAAATTGCTAGTTACGAAATGTTGCAGTAAACACTCAAACTACGATGTTTTCATAAGTGCAAAGAAATTAGCCATTTTGATTCAAACTGTCTATATTTCAGTTTACACTAGATCTAGTGGTGATGACGTTTTCAGAACTACATACACTTCTCTGAACAACTTCAATTTACTTGGTTTAAAATGTGTGTTATGTCTCCAGGTACTTCAACTGCAGAAATAGTGAGGAATATTTAAATCTCATGTGGGTGTTTTTAGTATTGTTGTGTTCTTTTAACTGGATGTTTTAATTGAGAAGCACTCACCATCTTTTTGGATAACATCTTCAACACTAACTACTATCCCTGTGAAATTTATGTGCTAAGTTTATAGTAGTTAGATTCACAATAATTGCCTCATTGATGATTTCAAGTTGGTTTATAACAGATTTCAATATAGCAAAAATATTCATTCAGACATCTGTAAAACACAAAATAATCGAGCAAAGTATATTCTTTTCGATAAATTCCTCTTCCGGCTGTAAAATTTATATATATATATATATATGTTTTTATACACAGAATATTCTAAATTAGTAGTTAATAACAATATTAGTGTTTTTTAAATAATATCCATTTGTAAAGTAAGATCAATGGAATTACAGTTCATTAAAGATGCTTAAATTATAATAATAATAAAGATATAATAGCGAATAGAATATCAACTAAAATTAGGGAAATTCCACAAAAATTCAGGATTATTCAAACCTGGATGGTCAAGGTAATGATAATGACTGAACTAACTTCTTTTGAATGCATAAATTAGGCTTATTAATATGGATCTCCACAGCCTCAGCAATATTTAGTAGTCAAACACTTAAGGCAAAAGTGAGATTCGTAGGTATGCGGTAAATGACCCTGAAAGCATGATTAACGTCAATCTTGTGTTCTGTCTCCACAAGATGAGACAGAATAGCGCTGCGAATAGATTTTGTTTGTCCTTTGCTTAACCAGGCAGGGTGATGTTTGGAAATTCGACGAGAAATACACCTAATTGTACGGCTTATGTAAATGGCTCCACAGGAGCAGTTAAATTGATAGATACACATGGAAGAGGCGAAATTAGGCAGTTTGTCTTTTATTCCCGAACGCAGAAGAGGAGTGGTTTTAAAGATACAGCGTAATTCAGCAGCAGGGAATGCTCTTTTTACCGCATTTCTAAGGCGCTGTGTTAGTATTTCACTGGTGTTGTCTCCTAGGAACTGCATCTGTAAGATTCTTTTCCTTCTTCGCAAATAATAAAGATACTTCCGGAGGTTGAGTATAAGTGGAATTTGGAGGTTCGCGCATCTTTTCCATTTTTGGAATCTACAAATAATACTTACATCAACTTTTTTATGCTGAACAATATTTCTATTTCTTCACCTCGTGAAATTTATGGTCGAATCACTTTGTTGTGTAGACGATTTTATGTTGTAACCGTTTGCTATGGGATACAATGACCTACAGCCTACCATCCCAGTTGCTGCATACGGCTTATTTTGTCTTTTTTTCAACTCTGTTTAAGCTATATGAATGGAACAAAACATGAAGTATGACTGGACACTGATCTCATAAATAAACAACCAAGTATGAAAATCAAAAACAAACAGTCAAACTACAAAAGACTCCACTTTAACTACTGTAAAGTATATCAGTAGCCTGTTAAAAAATAATTTAATCTGTCAGGAAAAAAAGCAAACAGAAGAAAAACACTTGGAAACGTCAACCAAACGATACATTAGCCGGTCTAGTTAGTGTTCAACAGGTACTAAAAATGATAACAACACGAAGCGGATGAGTAGTACTACAACATTTTACACGTCCTCATGATTTATATGAACAAAATCTTAACATGCGCATTTAGTTACCAGTAAAAAATAATGAAAACAATTAAGCAGAAGTTGGAAATCATGAATCATGAGATTCCATCTCAGTGGCAGCATCATAAATGCCTTCATCTACACCTGTGAACCATCGACTCGATATCTCTTTAGCTCTCAAGCAGTGGCCTAAGGAAGAATTCAAGATGAAAACGACAAGCCTTTGAGGCTGTAGTGGATTTCAGTCGTTATCTAACTGACATCGGTTCATGCTAAAATGTAAACCTGAAAGTAATCAATCGTTCACTAAATGAACAATCAAAACTATTCGACTTGAATGGTGAAAGTAAAGATACAAGCATATTTTTATAGTATCAATCCACCATTTGATATCTTTTAAACTAGATGTCACGCTCCCTCCCTCCCGATGTATTTATTATTATTAATATTGTTCCCTTGGGTTCCTAGTGGAACATAGGGCTTCAACTGCACGTCTCCACTTGCTTCTGTCTTCTGCTGTACGTTTCACCTGCATCCATGTTAATCCATACTGTTTCAACTCCTCCTCACACGATCTCCTCCATGTCACCCTTCGACGTCCCACTCGCCGCTTACCTTTCGGGTTCCACTCGAGTGATGGCCTGACGCGCGATGTCACCCAGCGGCCTCCTCAGCAAGTGTCCAATCTATCTCCACTTTCTCCTGCATATTTGTTGGGCGATTGGTTCTTGTTTTGTTTGTTCCCATAGTTTCTTGTTGGTGATTCTTTCCGGCCATCTGATCTTCAGTAATAGAACGAAGACAGCTGTTGATAAAGGTCTGCAACAGGCTGTTGGAAATATTCTTTGTGACCCGCCGCCAAGTTTCTGATCCGTATAGAAGAACTGACTTGACGTTTGTATTGAAAATCCGAATTTTGTTGTTGATGGTGAGTGACGAAGATTTCCAGATTGGTTTCAGGTTGATGAATGTGTTTCTCGCCTTCCTGATTCTCCATTTGACATCCTCGTCGGTTCCTCCTGTAGTTGAGACAATGCTCCCCAGATAAGTGAATGAAGTAACCTCTTTCAAATCCCTCCCGCTGATGATGATTGGCGCGGGATGTTGCTGTCGCTGTTGTGGTTGGTTGGTTATTTTCATAACCTCCGTCTTGTCTATGTTCACCTGGAGTCCTGTTTTTGCTGCTTCTTCGACCAATTTGTCGGTTTTCGCTTGTAAGTCTTCGATCTTGTGTGACATCAAACATAAATCATCCACGCGTGAAATCCAGGTCTTCTAGGTTCTTCACGTCGGTCCAGGATATCCCTGTCTTCTCGTTTCCCACTGTCTGACGCATAATCCAGTCCACCACAATTAGGAATATCATTGGTGATAACAAGCACCCTTGTCTGACTCCTGTGTTTACTCCAAACGCCTCGCTGAGTTTTCCGTTGTGGATCACTTGACATGTGCCGTTGTCGTACAGGTGTTGAATAAGGTTGATGAATATTTGGGGTACTCCGTAGTACTCGAGTAGTTTCCAAATTACTTCGCGGTCAACGCTGTCGAAGGCCTTCTCAATGTCTATAAAGTTGAGGTAGAGATTTGATTGCCATTCCATGCTTTGTTCGATGATGATGCGTAGAGTTGCAATTTGGTCAGAACATGATTTGCCTTTCCTGAATCCAGCTTGTTCTGGTCGGAATTGTGCATCCAGTGCGTCGTTTTATCCTCTTCAGGATGATGCGACTCAGAATTTTACTTGACGTCGACAGGAGCATGATTCCTCGCCAGTTCTTGCAGAGTCCTAAGTCGCCCTTCTTTGGTAGTTTCACCAGGTAACCTTTCCTCCAGTCAGTAGGCACCTTTCCCTCTTTCCAGACCTTTTGCAATAGTGGAGTCAGCATATCTGCTGTCGTCTCTGGGTCCGCTTTCAGTGCTTCCGGAGGTATTCCATCTGGTCCAGCTGCTTTTCCACCTTTCAGAAGCTTGATTGCATTCAAGACTTCAGCTTTCGTTGGAGGACTGGTGTCAACTTGCAGTTGTGTACGTGCTGTTGTTGGTATTTCTGGGCGGGTTGTAGGTGGTGGTCGGTTCAAGAGTCCTTTGAAGTGAAGTCATTACTGAATAATGTATTCACTTAACATAAATTTATCTTCTTTTAGAATTTAAAAGGGATAATAAATCATGATCAGCATTAAAAAAATAGTTTATTAATTTGAATTTATGTAATTTAGTTAGGTATTTTATTTAGTCCTTGTTTTCTTCGTTCCTTGAGTTCCAACTGGAAGATAGAGCGTCAAACTTTTTCAACTTCCACCACCTATGGTGTTGTTTATACCGCGTGAGGTCACTAGGTTTACGAGTGTATCGGCTGCGGATCGAATCCTGGACCACGTGCGTAGCTGGCGGGCACTCTACCCTTGAAACGTTATTATGCGAACTCGATTGAAAGATGAAGTACTTAGACTAGCCAACTCCAATTGTATCTACCAATCCAACTGCGCTTGTGAAGCGAGTTATATCGGCCGTTGCTCTAGCAACTTGATTTTTTCGTGCTCGAAAACATCTCCCAGAATGGCTAAGTAAAGGTGTAGTAAAAACCATCAACAGTTCGATATTAGACCATCTGGTCCAAATTGGCCACAAAGCCAGCCAGCATTGAAGAATCCTTCCCTATCATCTACCAGGTACCAAATAAATTGCCAAAAACATCTAAGCACCGCATACTATAAACAGCAGAGGCTATTGCAATTCGCGTGAAACAACCAGTGCTTTGTGTGCAAAAGAAACAAGTCCAGCCAGCCACTGCCCTGGTCGGCCTTCAGTGGAGACCATAAATTAGTAAATTCTGTATTATTATCTTTCCTAATTCTTCTGACATTCTGTTTATTGTTATGTTGATGCTATTGAACTGTAATCTATCAATATTATTGGTTCGATGTTATTTAAACAACATTAATGTTGTTCATAACACGAATTCATTCATTCACTATAATGTATATATAACTGTAGAACCTGATGATGAAGTTATGGAAAAGAGTATTCTTTGTTCAGTAACCATTCTCATGAAAGTTAATAAGATATGATCTACTCAATTCACTTAAATGATTTATTTACTCCAATCATTTACACTTTATTTCAAAATGTCACTATCTGCAAACCTTCTAGGCAACCTCGACAATAAATATTATAGAAATATATGCATTTACATGAACTGCAGCTAAAAAAACAATCTTAGTCAAGTGCACAAAAGAGAAACAGGTTACTGATAAAAAAGAAGCTAGCTTACACTCCTTTTCCTACTATTAGTTATTTTTTTTATTCCTTCACGTTCCCAGTGGAACATAGGGCTTCAAGCTAGAGGCTTGAAGTTTCTGTAGCAGTGTTCATTTTTACAGGATGGGGTTACTAGCCTCATGCCCAACCTTCCCTCTTTGCCAGTTCTATTACTAGCTTAGCGAGGTAAAGGAGTACGTCGGCCGGGAATCCAACCACGGACCATGTGCATGGTTGGCGAGCATCCTAACCGCTGTGCCACCGACGCACTACTATTAGTTATAGATCTAAATAAATAAGTGGAAACATTGCTAATATCATTGATACAAGAATAAAACTTGTGCACTGTGGTAGAGTGTAATTCCATTATGGGTAAATTTTGTTTTGATAAAGTCTCACAGTGTTATACAGTAATGTTTACTGATGACGTTTCGAGCACAATTTATTGCTCATAATCATATCAAGGTAATCACACGACTTCCTAAATTAATTTATATAGTTCCATTGTTTTTCACTTGATTTGATTGGTAGTAATATTTTCCATATCTCGGGTATGAGTGATGAATCATTCCTATTGCATGTGTTGGGTGTAGATTCGATGAACAAGGATTCAGTAATCAACCTCTCTCTCCACCTACCTAGATTACTTTTTAGAATTTTAACCCTCTCCCACCCTATTGTGTGGTTGTGTGTTAATACATGCATTGCAATTGCTGAGCTTTTCTCTAAATTACTTATCTTCTCTGGGTCAACCATTCTTACCTTAGCTAAATTCTTATGTTCTGACAATCTGACTACCGCTGACCTACTAGTCTGACCTATGTAGTTGACCTCACAGTCATTGCAGGGTACTTTGTAAATTATATTATTTTGTCTAATTGGACCAACTGGGTCCTTTAACCTACAGAGCTTGTCCCTGAGTGAGTTTGTAGGTTTAAATGCCACCCTAATTCCTGCTTTATTGAGAATCCTACGTAGGGTCTCAGATGTACCCTCTTTATATGGTATAACTGTAGATGACTTATATTCTCTCTTATTTAGGTTATTATTACTAGTTTCACAATTATTTTTCTTTTTCTTTTGGCCTTTTCCAATCTTTCTAATGAATTTTAGAGTATAGTTATTTAACACCAACGCCTCTTCTACCTGTTTTATTTCATCATTTAGGTCTTTTTTGTGCTACTAAGTGTTGAACACTTAGTATCTGAATAATTATTATTCATCAACCGCCGACTTGATTCAGGACCTTCAAGATTGTTTCTGAATATACCAAAAAGCGACAGTTTTTTTTGATTAATAACAATAATCTAAAAACTTACATATTCACGATTCTTTTCCTTCTTCACAAGTAATAAAGATACTTCTGGAGGTTCAGTATAAGTGGAATTTGGAGGTTCACGCATCTTTTCCATTTTTGGAATCTACAAATAATATTTACGTCAACTATTTTATGCTGAACAATACTTCTATTTCTGGTATAAGTATTGATCGAGGCCTTGGTTGAGTTAGTTTGAATGGTTGAACTTCTGTTGAAAATAAGTGTTTATAATGAAGTTATTACCTGTGACTTTCTTGTGTTGTAATTTGTTTTGTTTCGAACCAAGCGTTTTCTCGAGATTCATAAACACTGGTTTCCATCTAGACATTGTATAATGCAAAGTTGAATGAAATTTATGCTAGGCATTATCTACAAACCATCAGGTATTCAAACGAAATAACTGACTAGACAAATATCCGAAATATGTTGACAAACAGACATGCGGACTTATTTTACAATTTGTTCAGGAGTGTTCTATTTCAAATGTTAACATAAATGGAGTAATAGTGCAGAGGTAAAATATAGATGTTACAGAAACAATAATTGGGTGAAGATCAGTGTGCGTCCTCCGATTTTTAATGGTGCTGAAGAACTATTACGTCTGAACCATAGTAGACTGTTTACAAGCATTTGAAGAGAAGTCTCCAAATCAATTAGCCTGCATTTTTCGAAAGCAAATGGAACAGCTACCTAAAAACCAATGGTACTGATACTTTATCCTTCTAAATAAACAAAAATGAAATTATATTCTCCTTATTAGATAGTGATACGTTGTCGTATGCCTAAATTTATTTGCATAATTATGTGAATTCAGATGTATGACTTTGAAGTGTCTACATAGAAATGGACTGTTTCTAATTACAAAATAAACTTGCTCTAATACCGACTTCTCTACTTAATTTTTCTCACGACTTAAAAAGTTGTGATCAGTATCTTTAGATACACAGTGCTATTGAAACTGTATGTTTCAATGAATCTATCAAGACCAAAATATTTAATGGCCAGTGCTCCTGGTACCATAATAATTTCCTCATTAAAATGTATCAGAATCAAGATTCTGAAGCTGATCTCCTCAGCCTAAAACTTCACATTGTTATATGTTGAAAACATTCCAACTAAAAAAGCAACGAAATTTGAATAATCATAGTATATTGCGCCATTCTTTTAAATGTAAAAGACTGTTAAACCCAAACTGGTTTACATGCATGTAAAAGCAACGAAGCGTGATATGTCGTACATTTATTTCCTAGCTCTAATGTTAATACTGTGTTGACCAATGATTATAAGCAATCTTGTCTTCTCTTTACAAACGAATTACACGTGTGTCTCAGTCCACAAAAACATAACTATTACAAATAAAAATTCTATATACATAAAATTCAGTATTTGTCAATGGCCCCTGGTTAGATAAAACACATATCTGGACTGTTAGGTTCAACTAAATTCATCATTAGAAACAGGATATACAAAGTGCAAGTTTTGGCAGATTAATCTTGATTTTAATGGGTTGGTATTGAAACTGATAGTAACTTCCCGGATGAAGCAGAATTTCACTTATTTTTATCCAGGAGCGGTGCTCCATCCATTATTCAGTACAATTAAATACGAGTAATGAGAATACTACCAGTTTAGATCCTACCATTACTCGGGTCTCTATCTTACTTTAACTGCTTAATAATTATAACAAAACTATTTTCATAAACCAAGAGTTTCTCAGACATTTAATCAGCTAACCTTACCTTTAAAAGTCAAAATTCAGTAAGGACGTCTAGGATACCACGACGCAGATTTAACAAATGGATTATAATCTGGTTGTATTATTTTGCACTGCATTACTTCTGATATTTTTCGGGTACATTTGAGGATTATAATAAAATGGTTTAGTAAAAACGATTTGATCTTGCAATTCAAAGTAGACAGTGTGGAGTGAAGCCAATAGAAACTTAGGAAGGAATAAATCCTACTAATTTAGTTTTAATCGACACCATTCACCTTGACGGCTTATTCTGACTACACTAGTTATAAGACAGACCCCAAATTAGACTGGGGCAAGTTTAAACTACGTACTTTACTGGTGGCAATCCTGTTTGTGTGAAATAAAAAGTATTTGGCACATTTAAAATGATACATTTCAGGTATGCAAGACATGCCAAGGGAAAACATTTACTTGTCGTTATTTGAATGTAGTAAATACCATCTCTTAGAAAAAAGTGAGTATTATTCTTATACTTGATATATCACACAGTGAAACAGTATTATTTTAGTAGTAGTGATATTTTTCAGTTAAGACATCTAATAAGGGTGAAAATCAATCAAAAAAGATAATTAAGAATTTACTCACTTTTCAAGGGGCTTTAACAAATGCGCATCAATAAATGATTCTTCATATACATGAATCCAATCTGATTTCAATTCACTTATGACCTCGGGTGAACATAAAAATCTAAGAAACTATATCAGCATATAAGTTATCCGCCAAGCCTACTTCTTTAGAGTATTGAACGTTTATGTAAAGTAGAAGGCACTTCAATCCTTTTACGCCAAAAGTTTCCATTCCAAATAGAGCAACATAAAAAAGAACTAGAAACAGTTGAAAGTTTAAGATATATGTGAGTACATATATTGTCGAATTTTCCATGAAAACAGTACTAACTTTATGCTACACCAATATATTATTTCAGCGTTTTCCTGGAATAATGTCTACTGATAAATAGTTACCAGCAGTCTCAGTTTCAGAAAGCACTTCCTACCAAATATTTAATATTTCTTCGATAAAGAGTACAGACTAGCCATCAGTGGTAATAGGAATATTAGGACGAAAGTTACGATGATATGAATGAATATGCATTGTATTTCGATGAAAAACGATAGTTGTCTTTTATTTAATTTTTCGGAAAAAGACTGAGGCAGTGTACCTACAGCTTCTGTAAAACCAACATGCAAAAGATATCAGAATACTCAGTGAAATGAAAAGAATATACTCCAATGAAATGTTAAGACTTAAAGATAGATATTTTACTTATCGTTGTAAAACATTATGTCTTCAGAAGTGGAAGTACTTGGTTAATTATGGATACAAAAACTTCTACGGGTTTATATGTATGCATGAATAGCTGGTTAGGAAGTTTCCTGCATTTATCAGGATAGGAAGATCACACTTTCGCTTGCTTTGGACGTTTTCGCAGAGAACCATTATATCACTTTACAAAAGTATCTACCTCCGAATACATACGACATAATGTCATTTTCGTCATATACAATAATGTTCAAAAACACATGCTCCGGAGGAGTTCAGCAATAGCGTCCCAGGAGTGCGAACGCTACAATGACAAAGAATGCATGTTAGTCGTCGTTGCTCACCAACTAAGTAGCAAATTTCACCCAGATCATATTTTTAAGTACTGTCTAGACAATGTGTTATTAGCTCGTTAGGGTTAGGATAAAGGTTAAGGTAAGTACTGGGGTTAGGGTCATCATTAGGGTTAGGTTTACGGTTAGGATAAGGTTTGTAATTAGGGTTAGTGTTAAGTTTAGGGTTAGGGTCGGGATTAAGGTTAGGTTATGACCAGGGATAGATTTAGAGTTAATGTCATTCTTTAAAATTTGTTTTATTATCCACATTTTCCTGGTAAGTATACGTCGATCCTCTTACTCGAAACCATAGTAATTCAACTGAAGGCTTTTGGGGAAGACTGCATAACAGGTTATATGAGATAAGCATTTCACAAAAACAGCTCATCTTCAGTCACCTCGGTGAATACATGAACAGGAACTAATCTAACTTAGCAATTGATAATCCTCATTACAACTGGGAAGTATTTTAAAGTCATATTAGAGAAAGATAACCTGTTTAATGTGTTCTCATGCATTTTCTTGTAAATATACGTCATTTTTTGTGCAAAAGTCACTTATTTTTGTGATTGGTCTGCTGAAGGCCACTTGTGCCCCACTCGCTTAATTTCTTTGACTTGGGATATGCAGGTAAAAACGTGGGCAGTTTTCGGTTGTAACATGGATAAAGTGGGAATAATTGGGCTATTTTCGAAAATGACGTGGGCAAAGTGGGAAAACGTTGGCAACTATTTTCTGGAGACGCGGGTAATGCGAGAAAATATGGGAAACACGGAAAAAGTGGGAAGAACTGTAGGATTTCGTTTCTGTAGCGCAAACATACTTACATCCGAACTGCATGAGGTGAGGCACATTTCAGCCCGAATATTATGTAATCTGTATTTATTCATTGGGAAGCTGCATTAAGATAAAGTCTGACTATTTCATTTCAATCATTGTAACACGTTTGTTTATGTGAATGTTAACTTCTGAAGACGCGATTTCAAATTCATTCTCGTGCACTCCTAACCTGGTAAGTTAAGTGTTGATAGTGTAATGTCTATTTTAAGCTAATAAAATGGATACTGAAAGTGAAGTAGTACCAAGTGTGAGTAATGTTAACTCCCCCCCTCCCGAAGCCTTAGAAGTACTTTGTTCCTTTTAATATAGACCTGGTGCTTCAGTTTTGCTTGAAAAAGACACATGTCACCGATCCACAGTGTATAGAAGAAATAAAAGATTGAAGTTGCAACTGCTTGGTAACGTTGCCTAGAGAATACTTTCCAATTTCAGCGACTAGGCTGATGAATGTCTTGTAGATGAAACTCCTTATGATACTGCATACGAGGAGGAATACCCGAAAGTTGACTGGAAGATGGAGCAATGTGAGGTTATCTGTGAAACAGGTTAGCCGTTTCGCTACTCAACTATTTCTCCAGATGACTTGCAAGAAGCACTTCTAAAGCACAAGGCATTAAAAAGAACCTACAGCACTACCAATTGCAGTCAGTCCTCAAAATCTACTGTAGTCTGCACAAAAAGGCGTCGAAGAACGTAAGAATCGTTTAATAATTGACTCAATAATTAGTGCACCGAAATTTTGACCTTTTCGTAAGTGACAACTGCCCATCTAACCTGATGGATAACCAGTGCAATGTCTTTGAGGACTTTGAGGATTATGCAGACCTTGATAGTGGTGCACCTGTTTTGAAAACGAATACCAGGTATGACAGATATTCAACCTTATATTAAAATGAAGTAGTTTTGGATTAATGTCGAAGAGTAGTGTACAGATGATTGCTACTACAAGTACACCCGTTATGTAAGTTATACCAAACTTATTAGCCATTCTTTCTCAGGTCACCCAAAGATACTAACGCTCTCCAGTTATAAAAGGGCTAACAGGTGCAGTTCGGTCTTATTTTATGTTTATCCTATAATTATTAAACAGCTTGTGTTGACAAGCTATGTGAATCGCACACTCAATAATTCAGCGTCTGAACTTCACGTTGGCCACTAACAATGATGGCGAACACGATGTCAAGCTACCGGTGAAATCATTGGCTATGCTTCAAATTTTCGGACGTAAACCTGAAAAAAAAAGTATTTTGAGGAAATAGTGAGGAATTTCAACCAAGTTTGTTTAATTGATTCGTTTCAGATGTGCCAACTCTCATTTAAGGTGCAAAATGACGCAACCACATCTACGCGCCGTTTGCTGAGTGCAGTCCTCAATAAAAGCTTAGCAAGACTGATGACTTATAAGGGTACTGCAGAAAAGACTGCTGCCCGGGACTACACATTTTTCCAGCCTATAATTGGTACGTTGAATTTTGGAATCACAACACTGTATACTTGACAGAAATTCAGATGTTATCATTCGTAAGCAAACAGAACTTGAGTCCGCAGAGGAGCACACACTCGAAGCGATAGTCAAAGCAACCGAAAATTGGTGCCATGATCACCGTATTCGGAAAAAATTGGATCTCTCACCAGAAGAGGTAGTATTCAAGGAAAAAGTATTCCTCTTGTTATGCACTTCATGGTTGTTGACGCGTAAGAGTGACACGGACTGCCCGTCTGAAGATGACGCAGTAAGTGCCATCATGAATGTTGTCACACCGGCGGTTACTATCCCAATTACCCCGGAAGTAAAACGTACTAGGCGTTTGAAGCGTCTTAGTAAGCGAAAAGGTAACAAAACGGAAGCTGTAAACAGCATCTCAGCACCAGAGAACACTGTAAGCGAAATTCACCATAAAAGTGGTGCAGACACTGATATCGATTGTACCATCGAAAACTGCAGCAACCCTGAGAAGCAACTGCAGGTAGATGATAAGTGGGTAACAAAAATAAGCAATCGGAAGAAATATAGTAATATTGATGGTAGGCAAACGTCTGTCACCTGTAGCCAGGCTGTATCAATAGTGGTGAGAAAAGACGTAGCCACTGCTAAATACGACAAGCTCTCCCTAGACTCTAACATAACTGTTAGAAATTTAGAAGAGTCTAAAGAATCTGATCCCGTGAAAAGGCATGATCACGACCTTAAATTAGTGAGTAGTATTATAAGGAAGATGCTCCCAGCGAATTTCCCTGGAGTATCAATTAAAAAGCTGATTAGAATAAGCAAAAGAGATTATAAAAATGTTCTAATCAGCTTAGGTTGCTTAAAGTAGTCTTAGGTTCTCCTGATGAACGGAATCATCTACTGGCTAGTGTACACAACCTTACCGGGTCGGGAATTTCGGTCAGACTTGATTTATCTCTTGAAGACAGACTTAAACGGAGAGAAGTTTTGTCCCAGCTAGAAACAAGACGTGAAAATGGTGAGACTAACCTTAAACTGGTGGGTTTTCAAAGTTTGACAGCCGGTTACTCTTGACTACCATGGAAAACGCCCTGACATAACATGTCTTAGGTAGTACAAGATTCAGTTCTACCCAAGGATCTTCCTTGCTGGACTTAGTGCTTACTCATGACAACGACGACGTGGATGGTCTAGTTATTCATCCACCTCTAGCAAACAGTGATCATGGGCTGTTAGATTTTAACTTAAGGGCTGGCAATTTAGTCATTTTTCAACCCAAATCCCGACCTAGTGTTTGGCATGCTGACACAGACGCTATAAAGGAGCGTGCTTCAACTGCCGACTGGCCAGTCAATATTGTCTCATCCATTGAAGATGAATGAGATAGATTTAAGAATACACTTGAGAGGGTTACCACCGATTTAATTCCCTGGAGGGTTCCTAAAAGGCCAACAAATCGGCCACCATGGATAAATAGACAAGCTATAACACTCCTAAGACTGAGAAAAAGGTTCTGGAATATCTTTGTTTCTACTGGGCTACAGCAGTTCCGGCTGAAATACTGTGAAACCAGAAACCAGTGTAAAACTTTGATTCACCAGTCAAGGATAGCTTACGAAACCCAGTTAGTTAAAAGTTCACCAGGCTACCCAAAAGGACTCTTCTAATATA